CTCATTGGTACTCGTCGGAACGGCGGCTGCGGCGCTTCGTGCGGTCGACTGGACAGTGGCAGCAGCTCCTGCAGCGGCGCCAGATACGGTGTCTGCGACTTTCCTTGTTCGATCCGTTGTTTCGGACCTGTCGGTGCCGGTTGGCGTGAAAGCCGCCATCGACGGCGAAGCCTGCGACGGAGTAGACTCTGCATGATTGACGCCATTCACTTGCTTCTTAGGTGTCGAGGTAGCCTCGCCATCAGCGGGGAGGAAGTTTACGCGGATCTTCCTCTCTGATATGGATGACTTGTTCGTTTGTTCGATTCCTTGCCACTGTTTATCTGTAAGCAATCATGTATCTGGCCGAAGCCATTCTTCATCTGCATGGGCTGTTTTGCATACGATCGTAGAGATGCTGCCTGAGTCCTTGTCGGCTGGGATTGGAACGGACTGAACGAGGAACTTGTCTTTGCACTTCGCGTCTAACGGCGGATCTTCTCGCATAGCCTGGAGGAGCACTGCAGGTTCGTAAGTTCAAAGCAAGACTGCATTGAACCACAACTGACCTTGTACTTCCACTGTGTCCCCCGCCTCAATTTTGCCGGAGTTTGGCCTGACGCAATACCTATGAGACGAACGTGAGAATCCAAGTGGCGTGATTGGAGGGACGATGGGGCCGCGCGTACTGTTTAGGAGCTGTGGTCTTGACCTGGAGAGAAGAGATGTATTAGAACAAGTATCCGTAACCTCTCAAAACACAGCATTGTTGTGGATTGTTGTTCCTCACCTTGAACGCAACAGGATCCGAGTGGGTGTTCTTGAGCCTCAACGTTTGCGACACCTCCTGGGTGAAGGGTCCTAATATAGGTTAGCCCATAATTGCAATATATGCCTTGTCTTCTGTAGTAACCGTACGCTTGAAGCCGAGCTCCTGGGGGTCTAATTCGACCGACATGGCTGATAAGTCGAGATTGGTAATCGGGGAACGCCGTCAAATTCAGGAACAGCTGGCGATGCGCGCAACAACCACACGCTGATGCGCACCAAGCAAGCCGAGAGAAGCGGGGACTGGTTGTTGGAAGGAAGTGGGAGTCAGGAACTTAAGTATTCCTAACGATGGCGCGTTGTTTGAGGGCGTGAGTGAAGTGTTTCGCAGGTTTCGCACTGGGATGGAGAGGTGGTTGGTTTGGTTTTGGTTTGGGGTTTGGGGCGGCGAACTGACGTAGGAAGCTCAAGACGGGAGCAGCTCGGTGCCAAGACCGAAAGTGTTGCTTGTGAATGCGGACGTCTTGCACCTCTAATTCACGTCACACTTCATTTGTAGACGTAACTGCGCCAGCCTGCAATTATCCTCCCTCTCGGCCAGTTTTGCGGTCGTCTTGACCCCGCCATCGCGAGAACACACCCTGCCTTGCCTTTCTAGGCGGAAGCGACCCATTCGGGAAAGAACGCCATCGTCCACCACAGAAGCTTCACTTGCAACGCAATCCACTACTATTTAATTCTCATCTTCCTTCTCCACCTCAAGCCATATACCTCTCATCTTCAAACCTTGCAACGGCTCGGCAACACATCTACAGCCCCAAACAATAACCTCGTTGCGAACTTCTCCACTAGAACTCGTCCCCATCATGGCGTCCTCTGATCTGAACATGCTCATCGACATGGGCTTCGACAACGAAAAGGCGTCCCTTGCTATCAAGAAGTCGGGAAACTGTGAGCAGCTTTCGAGATAGTGAGGCTTGTATGCACTAATATACAGCACAGTACAAGGCGCCATCGACTGGCTCGAGAAGAACCAAGACAAGACCGTCGAAGAAATCAAGGAGGAAGAGAAGCAGGAAAGCAATGTCTCGATTAGCGCAGCAGACGAGAATGCCCTATCGCTTGTGTGTAACGAGTGCGGCAAGAAGTTCCGTAGCCAGGCACAAGCCGAGTTCCACGCTTCCAAAACTGAGCACACCGATTTCTCCGAGTCGACCGAAGAAATTGCGCCTCTCACTGAAGAAGAGAAAGCTGCCAAGCTAGCAGACCTGCGGGAAAAGTTGGCGGCCAAGCGCGCTGGCCAGAGCGAACAAGACAAGCTTGATAGGAAGAAGAATGAGGAGATTAGACGCAAGGCTACGACGGAAGGCAAAGATATCAAGGAAGAGCTTCAGCGAAAGGAGCAGATCAAGGAAGCACAGGCGAAGCGCCGCGAGAAGCAGGCAGACATCGACGCGAGGAAGGCTGTACTGGCGAAGCTGGAGGCAGATAAACAGGAGCGAAAACGCAAGGCCGAGCTGGAGAAGGCCAAGCGTACTGGCCAAGCCCTGCCAGCGGAGCCTGTAGCAGCGGCAGCACCGGCCGCTCCGGCCGCTCCCAAGCCTTCTTCGAGCTATACAGAGGCGAGGCTACGCCTGCAAGTTGAGGGAGCGAAGCCGATCATGAAGACATATCCGATCGAGACGACTCTCTTTGAGGTTGCGAGCGATGTGGAGAAGGAGGTTCTTGGTGGTGCAGAGGGTGGTGTGAATGGCTTCCAGATGACGTTCCCAAAGAAGTCGTTCGATCGATCAGATTTTGGAATGACTATCAAGGAGGCAGGCTGGGTGCCTAGCGCGGCTCTGATTGTACGGTAGACGTCTCTTAGACGCTCCAAGGAGAGATTACGAGATGAACGTATTTGCATGGCATGGCTTGGCGTTTGAGAACTAAGATCCTTCTTGGCTTTCACGAGAAACTTGGGCGGCAGAATATTGATGAAATAGCACGTCGTCACAAAAATGAATCACTCAGTTGAAGTGCACATAATCTGAGACACTCGTCCATTTATCTTTACAGCGGAGATTATATGATCTTCCATTCAGGTTTTCCAGGCCCCATAACCCTCTTGCGGCCAATCAAAATGCCATTTGAGCCCCGTTGCTTGCCATTCTGTTACCAAAGGTTTCCATTCACACCTTCCATGCATTCATGATCTAGTTAGAAAAGGGATCGGTCCTGGTGCCCCACCAGGTGAGGAACAGCGACAAACCGACAGTCTCGAAGACGCGGGCGACAGCACCGACGGCAACAGTGTCCAAGGGGCGCTTCTCAGTGAGGACTTGGGAGATGAACTGAGCAGACAGTTAGCATTCAGATCAGTCACTTAAAATTCAAAAGCTATAGAGCTCAAATGCCACTTACCGAAGGAGCCGAGCTAGCGAAGAAGATCAAAGTACCCATGTACGCAGCGCCCTTGTAGCTGAGCGTGCCAGTAGCGTTCAACAGCGCACCGACGCCATATGTCTGAATAGCAGAACCGACGATCGAGCTGCCCCACGAGGCGGCGGCAGTAGCAGCCTCCTTGGACCTGAAGAACTCCTCCTTGGTGTTGGCAGCCTGTGCCTGGCGGTAGGTCTCACCGAAGACAGGGGCGAGCACGGCGAGCGAGGCGGCGTGCGTGAAGACGGTGCCGAGGGCAATTGCGGAGGGCTTGACGGGTGGGAGATCTGGAGAGAGTGCTTGTTAGATTTACCTGAAGCATACGAAGAGATTTCGAACGACGACGATGGACTTCAGAATGGCGCAATCGTCCTTTGTTTACGTATTGCGGGGAAGGAGAAGCGAAGGTGGATAGACGTACAGTGCAGAGTCGCCATTGTGTCGACTTGAGTGCTCGAGTGAATTCGAGAGTAGTCTTATTGCAATTGAGATGTAGTCTGAGGTACTTTGAGACTTGTTCAGGTGGGTTGATGGTGTGATGTTGGGGTTGCGCAGCGGGAGCTTTATTCGATTGCGGAGCGATGACGTTTGTTTGCATCACCAGACCTTTGGAACTTGGACCTGGCCTTTTTGCTTTCTCCCAGCCAATCTGGAACTAGCGTCGATCATGGAGGCTTTCATCGGCTCAAGGTTATGCCAATCTTGTTTCTAAAGTCCATGGAAGTTCCCCCTATTTCTCGAAGAATCGCATTCCCTCCGTTTTCTGCATCGGTTCGGGTACCCGCCTGACCCTCTGAGCATGCTTCGAGCAGAACGTCATCTGAGTGGAAGGTAGGACCTCTTTAGATCGATATGCTTCATGTTCAGTTTCCTTTCCTAGCTCTGTCAAAGCCTCGACAAGGATGCATCACCCTACGTGTCCATTGAAGGCATTCAGCGAGACGGTTGAGCACCTCGAGGGTGGCAAAAAAGGTTGGTCGTAGCTTTCAAGACACTGAACAGTAATAGTGTGCAGCCTCATGCCTGTCATTGACAAATTGTATAAGCTTACATTCCGAAGAATATACAACTGAGCTTTCAGAGATACTCTCTCTATTACCCTGGAGAGCAGGAGCTGATTGCCACTGAGCGATTACAGCCCGCTAGCGGCGAAATATTCTCTCACCCTCGAGCGCACTTCATACAACATCGGATTCGGTAACTGCTGGCCGCAACAAAGTGTTTGCGACGCATGTGAGTTGGCCTGCGGCCGAGTTTGAATGGCATGGCACAAACTCGAGAGTGCCCATTCGGGAAGATATTCTTCAGCCTAACGGCGAATAGGCCCTCACCAGCGAGGAGCAGAGGAGGCGGAAGTCACAGCGGAAAATGAACAGAGTGAAGAATTTCCCCTCCGTAGGAGAAAAAGCAAAGGGGTGCGGACCGGAAATGGTATGAGCAAATATGAGGCCGCCTACGGATCAGATAAAGACTTAGGGCCGCTCGTAGACGGAGATCAAGGCATTCTAGGCCAGGGTGAATAACATCAATGCTGAGCGAAGGAAGCAAAGAATCAGAGGAGCTGAAGGCAAGGTCTTGCGGGAAGGAAAAGGGAATCTTCAGCCTCTGTAGAGTAACTGAATTTACAAATGGAATCATTTGGCAACGCAAATGCAGGCTAGTCTCTAAAATAGCTATCTGATATGGGAACCCTGTTCTGTAGAGTATACCGCCTGCAGCACAAACATGACTAAAAGAAAAAGGAGGTTAGACAGTGAATACAAAACTCAATCGCATTCTGCGAGAAAAAGAAGGTAGAAGATCCAATATTAAAAAAGGGCAAAAAAAGAAGATGCCCACTGACAGAATCGAACTATCGATCTTCTCATTTCGTAACATACGAGTGAGACGCTTTACCACTCTGTTTACAGTTAGTCGGAAATTTTCATATTTAAGATTTTAGGAGACTTACGAGCCAAGCGGGCAGAAAACATCAGCTCTCTGAAACTGCATGTTAACTATAAAGACTTGACTAATACTGCACACAGAATTTTTTTGGTCGACCCACTTTTACCCATTGCATCCATGGGTAGTCAGGAACATCCTCAGCTGTCTCCAAGGCTACAAAATCTTAGAATCTTCTTTACACCTTACATTTCCTGAAACCAATTTTCCCCTGACTGACCCTTACCGATGTTTCTAGCTCCTGCTCCGCCCAAGTGGAGAGCCTACCGCTGAAGTGGTACCCAAGTAAGAAATTCGGAGAAACCTTTTGGGCACATCTTTGGCTACCATTGGCAATTTTAGAGAATCAGAATTATTCTGTCATTGTCTAAACCTCCTCCAATGATGCTTCAGTGACTATTGGAAGACTCCAGGGTCCATACAGAGACATAAAGTCGCTCTTTGGGGTGGCTCAATCGTGCTCTGCTTTCGCAATCCCGGTTGCTCCTAGCACACCATTTCTGTCAGGGACTGGTAAAGAGAGGGATATCTGATTGATTTGTGCTATGCCGGCGGTAGTGCAGGGCCAAATTGCAGCAAGGATGTGGTGCAGATGGAGCCGGCTATCAGGGGCTGATGGGCGAAGAATTGGAAGTGAGACGCGACATTGGATTCAGGAGGCTTTGGCCAAACCAAATCCAACATATGTTTCATCCCGGCGACTCTTCGGTATAGCGCGAAACAACGGAGGATGTCTATTTCGAAGAAGCGAAGAAAGAGCTAGAACGCAATTCATCCCAGCATCAACCGCTCTGGAACCTTGCCGCTGGACAACATCATCCGCCCTCACAGGCACTGCTCGAGAACCAAATGTACAACCATACACACCTCCAACAACAGGACTCCTCTCATACCTTCCGCCGTCAGTCGTCCCATATGCTGAGCTCATTCGCCTCGACAAGCCAACCGGAACATACTATCTCTTTTTCCCATGTCTCTTCAGCACTCTCCTCGCGGCACCTCTTGCAACCCCAATCGCTCCACCGCTTACAGTCATTGGGACCACGGCTCTCTTCTTCACCGGGGCGCTCGTCATGCGCGGCGCTGGGTGCACCATCAACGATCTATGGGACCGCAATCTTGATCCTCATGTAGCGCGAACAAGGCTGAGGCCGATTGCTCGGAAGGCTATAACTCCCTTCAACGGCCTTGTCTTCACAGGCGCTCAGCTATTGACCGGATTGGCCGTACTCGTGCAGTTTCCAGTGCAGTGTCTCTACTACGGTATCCCGTCTCTTGCGCTGGTAGCGACATATCCGCTCGCAAAGCGTGTAACGCACTATCCACAATTTGTTCTCGGGCTCACATTCTCCTGGGGAGCCATTATGGGGTTTCCAGCCCTCGGGGTGGATCTTCTGTCTAACCAAGCAGCACTGACAGCAGCGGCATGTCTTTACGGTAGCAATATCGCCTGGACAGTGTTGTATGACATGATCTACGCCCACATGGACATCAAAGATGACGTCAAGGCTGGTATCAAGAGCATTGCACTAAGGCACGAAAAGAACACCAAGGCTGTATTGAGTGGACTGGCGGTTGTCCAGATTGGCCTGCTTGCAGCAGCGGGGACTGCCGCTGGCGCAGGACCGATCTTCTTCGTCGGCAGCTGTGGTAGTGCTGCCGTCACGCTGGCAACGATGATATGGAGGGTCAAGCTGAAAGAGGTTGCGAACTGCTGGTGGTGGTTTAAGTACGGGTGTTGGTTCACGGGTGGAGGTATTGCACTTGGTTTGTTTGGAGACTATATTGCCAAGTGGATGGGGGGAAAGGCAGAAAGTCAACAAGTGGAAGAGGGCTGAGCACTGTCTACTAATTGGAGCATGGGATTCAATTCGTCTCTGTATTCGATATGTGTACCATAGATCTGCCGGAAAATCAAGACTTCTAACGGACTGGCAGCCTATGTGGTATCCACTCTGTGCGCCTTTGGCTCTCGATCGATTATTCCGCTTCCCTCGGCAGTCTCGATGTCGAGTTGGAAAGGCTAGCTTCTTGACCTCTCCATCTGTGAAGGGGTGCAAGAGAGCCATTCCTGGCTTGCGTACCAAGCTTCTCTACGCTTGCATATCTTGGGTATTCCAGAACTTTTTTCATGTCCTAAGAACAAAATACGGAGTATTGTCATCCTCTCACTTACATCCAGTCATGATCCCCAAGTGCAGCTGGAAACCGCCACGTTTGTATGTTGGATTCTCCGATGTTGCAATACTAGGTTGAGGAGCGGTGTTTGCCACAGGCCCTTGTTTCTGTTTCTTAGGTATCAATCGCTTCTGAGGTTTGGTCCGCCAGCTGTCGTCGTGGCCGAACAAATGCGCATGCCCATTCGTTTTTGCAACTGAAGGTATACTGGACTTCGCACGAAACTCCAACGCCGTGATCGTTTGCGGCTCTTCAACTACATTCTTATCTGCTGCATCCTCATCTGCTCGCTCCGGCCCATTTAACAGGTCTTCGAAACGCTTCTGTGCTATCCGCGCAATCTCTTCTTCGCTCCATTCTCGCCTTGCTATCATCGAATCGATCATTCTTCTCCTAGCGTCGACACCAAGCTCAGTCCGCACCCATCGCAGCATATCTTCCGGCGACATCCATCCTTTGCTTATCATATGCTCTAGCAGTGCGTCTTCATGCTCTTGCGTTAACGTCCGCCTCCTGCCCATTTCCTTGTGCTTCGGCGGTCGCACGGATCCATACATCGCGAGATTCTTCTTCCACTGGCGAATGGTGCGAATCGCTACTCCGGTTTCATTTTGAATCTCTGTTGTCTTCCGGCCTTGGAAGAGGAGTTTCACGACGCTTGCGACAACAGCGGAGTCGTAGCCATGGGTAGAAGCGTAGGGATCATGATGGGAACATTTCTTCGACTTTGGGGCTATAGGTGGCATCTGCATATCCGACTTAGTATCAAATCTGCCAAAGAAGACCTAGGCATGCTTACCGTTGCAGGAAGATTTGCGAGAAGATCAATGCGGAGTTGCATGTAAAGGTTGTTCTAAGGTGGAGGCTGTTGCTGTGGACAAGGATCGTGGTGCACCTATTTAGGTTAGTGTTTTCTACCATAGCATGTGCATGTCCCTCACATCCTCTGGAATTTTTTCTGATTCCAAACGGTCTGTCTGACAAGAATATTGTTCGAAAAGTGGATTAATTAAAATGACCCGGTGAAATTTTTGCTCTATTCTACGTAATTACTTTGCCAGACGAAAGAAGTATACGTTATTCTGTAACGCGTAAGGATTCCAGCTCTCAACATCTGTGTCGCTTAGTCTCTTAAATTAGCTATTCATTTGACGTATAAAACCTGCATGTGTCTACTGTCTGCATGTGCAGTATAAACATGACTAAAAGAGGGGGAGTACTCAAATTTTACAATCGGAATCATTCATATTTACAATATCAAAGCGGCGACTTCTTGTCCGCCTCGGCCAGAGCTAAGTCTATAAGCATCCAAAATGTGGGTATCTCAAGTGTTCTGGGTATCCTGATTCCTTTTTCGCTCTCCCTCAACAGCTTCACGACCGTTCTCCCGCACTGTCCAGAGTCCTTGAAATGGCGTCTCCGCTCGAACGAGTTTGGCTCGCCTTCGGGCACCACGTAGATCTCGAACCGCTCTCCATTCATGTCTTCGAACAGCTCTGGCGTAAGAGCAGCCGTTACTGCGACTGGGTCGTGTAGCGGCGGCCCTTGATTCATCCCAAATTCTCGGTGGTAAGTTTTGGAGAAGAAGATCAAGAGCTCGTGAAACATTTGCCGAAGGGTTGTGCGCTCGCCGCTCTTCTCTTTTCCATAGCCATACGAAAGGAGCTCCAACACCTTCGGGCTCGCAAGCACTTGATGTGTGATGTCCAATGGTACGAACGTAGTCTTCTCGGCCAGTGCAGTATTGGAGAAGACAGCTTGCGCCGCTTCCGGGTCGCAATATATGTTGAACTCTGCAAATGGGCTCCAATTGCCACATGCATTCTTCTGCTGTATCAACATCGTTGCCAAGTCCTCATCACTAATATCATCCACCTCAAGGGCCAATCCTTTTTCTCTGAACAACTTTGCTAATTCAACTGGGGCGATGTCTGGAGGACCTTCAGGATACTCCCTCCACACCTGCGGCGACAGCTTCACGCGTTCCGCATACCGTCCCATCGGTGCGTGAGTGAAGAAGTTGCCAACTCCACCTCCCATGATACTCAGGCCGCGGATATGACTTGCAAGGTTCGGGTGAAGAGCAAAGAGGAGTGCGGCGTTAGTCATCGTGCCAGTTGTAACGAGCCATGCCGAATCGCGAGGTGTATTGATGAGTGCATTGTACATAGCATTAACAGCAGTTACATTTGTAACTGGCGGTTTGACAGGTTCTGGGAGCAGATCTGTCCCATCAAGACCAGTTTTGCCTGTTTCAAGTGTTAGTCGTGTGGAGAACGAGCATTCAGAAATGCGCCGGACCATGGTACTCAGGTGCATATACAGCATATCTAGCGAAAGGTTTTGCAGCGCCCGGGTAGACAGGGACGTCTCGGCAGCCAATTGCCTCCAGTACAGACTGCGTGTTCCACGTCGTGTTCTCGAGCGAGGCATTGCCATGAACGGTACTTACGCCTAAGAGGTTGAACCGTGGGCATTGAGTGGCGAGGAGAATGGCAAACGCATCCTTAAAGACTGGATCAGCTATATAATGTGCATGGTAAGAATGAGCGTGATTCGTACATCGTGTCCTAAACGTCCGTCAGTTCATCTGAATTACACTCAGCGAGCCGTGATGAAGCTGGGTACGCCAATCAGAGCAACCAGAAATCGCTTAACTTACCTGTATCACAATCAAGCCAGATTGGTATAACATGTTGGCTTTTATCTTTTCCCCAGATTTGCAAGGCCTTTTGTCTTGCGGCGTAATCCATTTCTTATATTGGACAATGGAAAAGAATGGACAACCAGCTTT